ATCACACTCGGAGTGAAACTGCGGTGAGCGCTTCCATGAGCTGCAGGACCCTGTCCAGCCCCGTGGCCCCCACCTCTCTGCCTGCCGGCTCTTCTGCTCTTGCTCCCTTCTTTCCAGCCACACAGACCCACTTTAAACAGGCTGAGCTGCCTCCGTTCCCTCTGTGTGGAATGTTCTTTTCCCAGACTCTATTTTTCACCCTCACACCTCTGCTCTCATTACCTCCTCAGAGGGGCCTTTCCAGACCACCTTATCTTACCTTGTTAACTCCCTCCCCACATCACTTTCTACCTACCCCCGTCCATACTTAGTTTTCTTTATTTTAAAAAATATGTAGTTTATTTATTTATTTTTAGAGAGAGGGGAATGGAATGAGAAAGAGAAGGAGAGAAACATCAATGTGTGGTTGCCTCTCCTACTGGGGACCTGGCCTGCAACCCAGGCATGTGCCCTGACTGGGAATCAAACCAGTGATCCTTTGGTTTGCAGGCTGGTGCTCAATCCACTGAGCCACACCAGCCAGGGCCATACTTAGTTTTCTTAGTAAGTGTCAAGGTATAAAATGAAATCACTTTTGTTTATGTGTTTGTTCTCCGCCTTGCCCACTAGAAGGTAAGCTTTGTGGGAGCAGGGACTTGTTGGTGTCAGTAAATATTTGTTGAGTCAGTTAATGAGTGAGTGGTATCACTTTCATCTCCGTCTCTACACACAGCAAGCACTTGGCACAAGTTTGCTCAGTGGAGAGCCATAGAATCCTGGCCCTGATTTTGAAAATCCCAGGCCTGGCGCAGGCCCCTCAGGGCCTTGGGGGGAGAAGGTGCGTGAACTCACTGGGATTCCTGGAGGGCTCTGCATGCTTTGCCCAGGGCATAGTGATGACCCAGCTGCGGGGTTGGAGGTCTCAGAGGACTGTCCATAAGCCTTCTTGCTGCTGCCATGGCCATTTCCTCAGCCGAGCTCTCCTGTCTGTCCTCCAGTTCAGTTCTACGCACATTCCGGAGTCCTCTGCCAGCCCTGCAATGGGGGAGGCAGAGCCAAGGAAGCTTTTCTGTGATGAACTCATGGCAAGGAGGGGGTCCACAATAGTTATCACAGGAGGTAAGAGGACTGAGTGCAAAAGAGAGGCCAGGCAGCCAGGTCCAGAGTTGCCTGATCAGCAGTCCATCTGGTCCCAGTGTACTGGCTTGAACTTTTCTGACCTGGGGCTTGCTACCTTGCCTTAATCTAGAAATATTCCTCCGAATGAACAGACTGGGCCTTCCATGTTCCAACCCAGCTTCAGGGATTCTGGGAATCCTGGTAGGTGTGGATAGCTTCTCAACTGAGAGTTAAAGCTGTTTCAAGATATGTTTATATTCAAGGAGGGTGGTCTGTGGGCTCCAGTTACTGCAGAAGATGGCCCTCCTGATGACCTTTTCTTCTGATGGTCATGGTTCTCTGGCACACACTGTATTGCCGCTAAGTTGAAGCTGGGAGACAATGTAGAATCACTGTTTTCCTGGCAAATGTGGATGCTTATTCATTCACATGTCATTAAAAAATGTACTGAGTTGTTATGTGTGCTGGAATACAGTTTTTTGAGATGTTTCACAATATTCCTTTGTCCATGTAGTTTAACACTCTCCCCTTAACTCACCCCTTCACTCCCTCCTTCATTCAAGGTGCTGATTTTTTTTTTTTTTTTTTGGTCTGTGTCCCTAGGGAAGGGGTGTAATAGAGACGTAAGAAAAATCAAAGAGGCTTTCTTGCTTAGGTATCCAAAATGTGTACCCTTCCATAATTAAAGAAGACTCCAGGAATATATAAAATCTCTATGAGAGAGGGAGGGGCACCCCAAACCCCACCCTCAAACAGAGAAGAGGTTTCCCTGGGGCTGGGAGAAAGAAAAAACAAAGGGGAAAATAATGGGAACAGGGACCTTGGTGGTGTGTGGAGGGACACCCCTGCCTTCTACACAGAGCCCCCGAGGCCAAGCTGAAGCTTGGGGATTTCTTTACTCCAAGGAAGGAGCAGCCCGATTCCCACGCTCTTAGATGCGGCACAGAGGAGGAGGGTGCTTCCAGGCCAGAAGGGCCCTGGCCGGCAGGAATAAGAGAAACAGGGGTGGCAACTGGCATGGGCTGATGACCAAAGGCCAGACGCCGGCTCCCATCATCTTAATGGGCTGGGGGAGAATTGTGGGGTGGACTCCAAAAGGCATTAAATTTCTGTTCCTTTGGAAGAATGGGAATTCAAACTCGCAAGTAAGTAAGGACACGCGCGCACGCGCGCACACACACACACACACACACACACACACACACACACACATTACATTTCAAAAAGGAAGTTTTTGAGCTCCTACTGGGTACCAGGCTGGGATCAGCTATAAAGACACCAAGTCCCTGGCCAGGCCTGGGACATTCTTGTGCTGAACAGAGTGGCTTTTTGGGCTTTCTCTGAAGTGTATCTGTTCATCTCCTTTTCCTGGTCAGCACCCCTCTCAGCTCCGGCCGGGCATACAAAGCCCTTCACAATGGGTCCCCTCCTTACTTTTTTATCAAGTCTTCTGTGCTCCACCCCAAAATGCTTTTCTCCCAGGAGACTTGTGTTTTCTTGCCTCTGCGCTGCTCCCTGCATAGCTTTCACTGTCTAGGGAATTTTCTTGTTTTTTGTGGGGGTTTTTTTTTGGCAGCGGTGGGGCAGGGGGAGGGGGGGAGGAGGGAAGGGAGGAGGGCTAACATCATTACAAAATACTTCAATGCCCTGGTCAGAAATAATTGCTTCTCTCTTGGAGCTCTAACCAGCATGGCTGCATTCATTTTTTAGTACTACTCGTTTGGTGCTTTATTAAGAGATAGTTGTTTATGGATCTGCCTCTTCTGCCTTTGAGTTACCTTGGGCAGAAGCTGCATCTCTTTTCTCCCTTTCTCTGGCATTACCCTGAGGGTCTGGCATAGGGTAGATACTGGTGACTGATGAAAGGATGAACAGCACAAACGACCCTGAGTGAGAGGGGCAGAAATTAAGTTACAGAGATGATGCATGTAAGTGCACATTAATAGTTCAGAAATTTGTAATGGGTCTTATTATTGTTGCTAATGGCGTTATTATTGGTGGAGATGTTACATCCCAAATGGCCGGACCCTCCCAGTTAGTGACTCATGAAACAGGGAGCAGCAACATTATAATCCAACTTCTTTATCGTCCATATGAGGAAACAGGCCCACAGAGCCCTGCCTCCTTTCACCGAATGTGTACATTCAAAATAATTTTGAAAAACTTTAAATAGACATCTACATTTTTTCATCGTAATTTTGAATGGTCAGAATGGATGTAATTTATGGATTATTGTAAATACACGGGTGGATAAAAGTAGATTTACAATTATAATACAAATAAATAATGCAATAAGTAATAAAAATATTTTGTGTATTCACAACTGTAAACCTACTTTTGCCCACCCCTGTATATTTTTTAAAAGTTGTATTATTGTAACCATCTCACAGTAAAACTGTAACATCACTCCTTTAAAGATATTCAGTGGATGGGAAATAGTGAAGTGATTTGGTACCTACCATCACTCATTAAAAAAAAATTCATAAACAAAAATACACAAACTGTTTTTAGCTTATTTTCTTTCTTTTTCCTCCTTACTCATATTTCCACTCCACAGAATATTATCTTAATGTAATTTTTTGGCTTGAAAATCTTTTATCCAGCACTCTATTGTAGTTCACTGCGATAAAAATACATATATACACTACATAGCTTCACAGGTAGGCAGTAAAACTACACGATACTATAATGGTGGTTATCGTTAAGACTATACTGGGACATGGACCTAAGCCACAGCCTACGCTGAAACAAAGAATGGACACGTCACCGGCTAAATACCTGAGCACGAAATTCCCCAAGTCAGAAGTAATTTAGGCGTAGCTGCCGGCATCCTGCTGGAAACCGGTGCAATCCTCACTGCCCTCTCCTCTCTCCCTCCAGCTGTCCACAGAATCAGCCCTACCTGATCTGGTACCCAGGACACCTTAAGCAAATCAGCAGGGTGACTCACTCTTTTTAGGGGGGCTGCTAGACACCTTAACAGCCCTTTCCCTTGGGGTTGTCTGTTCGGACCCAGCCTGCCTGATCCTGATCGCAGTGTCTCGCCTGGAATAAAAGCCCTTAATTGGACTTTTCTGGCTCCGGGTCCATTTTTTAGCCACCTCAGCTACATGATAGTTATATGTCATCATACATTTGTGTAAAACCCTCAAATGTACATGATATTTGGGTGACATGTCAATGCAGGTTCATTAGTTGTAACATATGTAGCATTCTGGTGGGCGATATTAATTTTGGGAGTGGCTTTGCATGTGTGTGGGAGAAGTGGTTAGAACGCTCTGTACCTTCCTCTCAAATTTGCCCTGAACCTAAAACTGTTCTCAGAAAAAGTCTATTTATATGTAAATTTATACTTAATGTTTTTCTTTCCTGTGGTTATGCTTTTTATTTTTTTTCTCCCGGACCAAGTTATCATCATGATCGTTATTTATACAGCAATGAAAATCACATAATGGCCTAACAGTAAAGTGTATTAAAAAGATTTCAATTACGATGCTAGATTGGCGTTTCTAGTACCTTGAATTATCTAATGGATAATTTGCTCTGTTTTTTTTTTTTTTTTGTCCTCATGGCATCACATTCTAGGAAGATTTGGGAGGGGAACTAAAATGAGAACCATGACTACTAGCTCCTTTACTGCAGGTCAGTTTTAGGAAACGACGTAAGAAAGTTGAATTATGTGGAAACTGTGTCCCCGCCACCTAGAGAATGTCATCATGCCCTCAGGGACAGACATACCCCAGTTTGAAAATCGAGGATTTAAATCACCTCTCACATGTCCCAAGAGTCACTTGACCATCCACCTCTCGGCCAGCACTTCCCGCTTCCGGTCCGAGAAAGAACGCAAGCCCCGCCTCACTCACTCCGCCGCGCCCCGCCCCTTCCGGCCCGGGAGGTTTGATTCTCTTGGCGGGCGGAAGCAGCTAAACCCGCAGGATCCAAAAGGCTCAGAGGGACCCTCCCCACTCGCCGCTTCGCCAGCGACCTTAGGTGGGCATTTTTGTCCCGGTGCCTGGCCGTGCTCTGTCCCGCTCTCCGCTCCTCAGGTCAGTGTCTCTAGCCGGTTTCCCGCCAGATTGCGGCGCGGGGGAACGGCGCCGCGAGCCCTGCTTGCTCCCGGCTGAGACTTTTACTGGAGCCACACCTTACCGATCAAGTTCACTGGATGGCATATTTCGCTTTTCTGAGGCCCTTGGTTTTCTCCTGTAAGTGGGGGTAACGATCGAACTTACCGCAGGGTTATCAGTAAGGTAGGTGTGCAGGCAAAACGTTTGCCACCCAGCAGCTCGACAGATGTGAATTCCCATTTCGCGTTGCCATGACGCTGTCTCCGCCAAAGAAATTCAAAGAAGGGCTCGAAGTTATTTCTGTTCATGCAACTCAGTTTACTGGGACAGTCCAGTAAAAAAGGAAATGTGTTAGATGTTATCATCACCTTTTCAGAGTCAAACTCCATCCTCTCCTTTTCTCCAAATAGTGGCTTGAGAAGCTCAAGCTGAAAGGGGAATATGCACGGGAGTGCTCTAGCAGTAAAAAGAGCAGCTCCCTCCAAAATATCTGGGAAGAAGAGACACTCCCAGAGGAGGGCATCCCAAGAGAGTGATCAGGCCTCTAGCATCTAGGATGAGTAATTGTTCTTGAGCTTCACCTTTGGTGTTTTACTTTGGTAGTGGAATGGGGAAAGGTGAAGGAGGGGTGCATCAGAGGTACCTGGAGCTTTGCTCAGAGGCCAGTGTTCCTAAATTTTTTGTTCATATTTTGGTTTCTCTTAACCATGTTCTGTGGGAGAAATCAGAAATGCCCTTAATGTACCTTCATGGGTTTGTTTCACCAGTGAATCTGCCCTTCCTGTGTATCTACTGTGGATCAATGAGATGAGCAAATCAACCCCTTAAAACCTTTAGGAATGAATGCCTCTTTGCTGGTGCTCCCAGAAACCTCTACAAAGGTGCAAGACAGACTGTTAATTAAATGTATTACAAGGCACATAATAAGCCATTTTGTATTCTACTTGTTTGAAATATCCTCAGCATTAGTGTCTTACCAAGCTCACTAGATAAGGTAAATGCGTTATGCAGCAATGAATAGCATAGCCTAAATAATGCCATGTTAATAAGAAAAATTTGCCCTGGTCCATGTGGCTCAGTGGATTGAGCGCTGACCTGTGGACCAAAGGGTTGCTGGTTGGATTCCCAGTCTAGAGCACATGCCTGGGTTGTGGGTCAGGTCCCCAGTAGGGGATGCGACAGAGGCAACCACACATTGATGTTTCTCTCCCTCTCTTTTTTCCTCCCTTCCTGTCTGTCTAAAAGTAAATAAATAAAACCTAAAAAAAAAAAAAGAAGAAAATTTGTTGCTATCCTAAAAAATTTAATGCTAAACCTCCTCCCATTATCTAAGCAATTCCTTATTTCCTCAGAGAAATTCAAGACCCCCATTATATATGCCCCCAATTTTTCTATTTAGTCATACTCAGAAGGACTTTTAGGTGTCTGATTAGGGTATAGTTTCTAACTTCATTATCTACAGTTGAGGGGCTGCCTTCCATATTGACTGATCATATACCTCCTTTAGCAAGTCCAATCACAAGTCTTTCCTGTGTTCAAGATTTCCAAACTCTAGAGGATAAACAGGGCACTTAAAAATATTTAGAAATAGCCCTGACAGGTGTGGCTTAGAGGGTTAAGTGTTGGCCCTCAAAGCAAAAGGTTACCAGTTCGACTTCTGGTCAGGGCCCAGGTTCCCCGATTGGAGGGTGTAAGAGGCAACTGGTCGATAGACATTTCTCTTACTCTCTCCCTCCCTCCCTTCCCCTCTCTCTAAAAATAAATAAATAAAATATTAAAATCCCCCTTACAACCAGCATAAATAAAGTGGAAGAAAGAAAAGAAGGTACACAAGTTCAATCTCACATTGATGCAAGTTGATCTTTGTTAGTTGACCATGACCTGGAAGTTTAAAAGTCATTTTGGAGAAATCTGTCAAGAAGTTAATTATGACACTCCTCAGAAGTGAATTCCAACATCATACGAATTGCTTTCTCTCTGTGTGGCAAGTTGAAATAACACAGTCCTTGTATGGAATTTAGACATGTGCAGTGGTGGCAGTTAGGATTCTTGGATTTCCTAAGGCCTGCTTCGACCATTGCCATCTCTTGGTTTTTAAACTTTGAAATGTCTCTTTGTGTTCCCTCTTTAGCTCCTGTGATCTGAATAGGCCAATGCTGCATTTGTGAGGCTTTGCTCTTTAATGAACCTGATAGTCCACTTAAAAAAAAAAAAAGTTTAGCCCTGGCTGGTGTGGCTCAGTGGATTGAGTGCTGACCTGTGAACCGAGAGGTCGCTGGTTCAATTCCCAGTCAGGGAACATGCCTGGGTTGTGGGCCAGGTCCCCATTTGGGGGGGCATGTGAGAGGCAACCGAACCTCTCACACATTGATGTTTCTCACCCTCTCTCCCTGCCTTCCCCTCTCTCCAAAAGTAAATAAAATAAGTATTTTTAAAATATGTATGTATTTATTTATTTTTAGAGAGAGGGGAAGGGAGGGCAAAAGAGAGGGAGAGAAACATTGATATGCACAAGAAATATTGATCAGTTGCCTCTTGCACACTCCCAGATGGGGACTTGGCCTGCAATCCAGGCATGTGTCCTGACTGGGAATTGAACCAGTGGCCTTCTAGTTTGCAGCTCAGTACTCAGTCAACTGAACCACACCAGGCAGTGCCAGCCCTGCACTTTTATAGCAAACAACTTTCCAAACAGATTTATAGCCTGACACCCCCCTGTTTCCCACCTCCTGCTCTTTCTCTCTCCATGAGGATTCCAAACGTTTCTTAGTCTCGTGTTGACCTTTATACCTTTACTGCTGTTATTGCCATTTTTGAAATGTCTTGGTCCTCTGATTCCTGTTTTTGGGGGGGAGGTGGGCAGGTCATGGTTCTACTTCATTCCTATATTTGCTGCACTGACAAATGCCCTTTCAGAGATTTCTGAATTAGTACTGCTGCTGAGGAGATTTCTGATCCTGTCCCTTATGTGCACATTGAGGATAGATATGATCTTGGTGGTGTCTCCTTGCTCGGAGTAAAATGATATGTGGAATCAGAGTGCTTTAGGCATTTTAATAGATTATTTTATTTATTTAAAAGATTTTGCCCTGGCTGGTGTAGCTCACTGAATTGAGCGCGGGCTTGCAAAACACAGGATCATGGTTCAATTCCCAGTCAGGGCACATGCCCGGGTTGCAGGCCAGTTCCCAGCAGGGGACTCATGAGAAGGCAACCACACATTGATGTTTCTCTCCCTCTCTCCTCCCCTCCCCCTCTAAAGATAAATAAATAAAATATTAAAAAAAAATTTAGCCTTGGCTGGTGTAGCTCAGTGGATTGAGCATGGGCCTGCGAACTAAGGGATCGCAGTTCAATTCCCAGTCAGGGCACATACCTGGGTTGCAGGCCAGTTCCCAGTGGGGGATACGTGAGAGGCAACCATACATTGATATTTCTTTCCCTCTCTCCTTCCCTTCCCCTCTAAAGATAAATGAATAAAATCTTTTCTAAAAAAACAAAAAAATTTTTTAGTTGAATTTGTTGGGATAATATTGATTCATAAAATTGTATAGGTTTCAAGTGTACAGTTCTGTAACACATTATCTGTATATTGTAGTATGTGTTTACCACCCCAAGTCAGGTCTCCTTCCATCACCATTTATCCCTCCCTTTACCCGCTTTTACTTCCCCCTACCTCCCTAAGAGGACATTTTAGTATATGTCTTGTGGAAGTGAGCACCTAAAAGGATATTTTAAAAATATCTCTTGTGGCCCTGATCGGTGTGGCTGTTTGTTGAAGTTTTATCCTGTACATCAAAAGGTTGGAGGGTTCAATTCCTGGTCAAGGAAAAAGAAAAAAAAACCTTTTGTGGCCTTTGAGCTTTTGATTTCTTTTTTTTCTCTACTTCAATTAAGAAGATGCCCATCCTCACTCATAGACCTCGCTGACTACTCTTTCTTTTCCTTTATAAACTCACTAACCCCTGAGGTAGAACTCACACTCTAGGTCTTCCAACGTCAGGACTGTTTGTAAGGCTTAGGAATGTGCTGGTCACTCAGCTCTGGATGAGACAGGATGAAGAACAGAGAACCTGAGGGCAGTGAACATGTGCTGGCCATCCATCAATCCCAGAGCCCTCAGCGGGCTTGCCAGGCCTCTAGAAGGGAGACTGTCTGGTTCTAGAAATGAGCACCAGCACCAGCACCAGGTCTTAACTACTGAGAAGCAGTGATCAAGATGGTTTTCTTTGCCCTTTCTTTGCTTCCCAGGTGCCAGTTGGCCATACCTGTAACTCAGCCTTTCAAATTATTAGGGAGAAGGGGGTCCCAGCATCCTGAACCCTGTGCTGCCATAACTAGTCTATGGCTAGGTCACCAAGGGAGATTGGTACACAGGAGACAGGCCAGGCAAAGGAGGATTTCATCACTGGCTGGGTCTTGGCCTTAAACCCCTATGTGAACTCAAGAGCCCTAGTGTGCTGCGCTGGACTGCATAGGAGATTCTTTGTGCCTGACTCAGTGACCTCCATTTCCCTGGGCCCCTCTGATTCCTGCTTAGCTATTTAAGGGGTGTGGGGGCATCTCTTCCCAAGGTTGAAATATTGAGTTTTGTCCTATATTAGCCTTTAGGAAGAAGAGCTCCTTAGAGAAACCATTTCTGTGTAGGTTCACCTTTGAATCCATGTCTAACTATAAAGAAAGCTCCAATTTGTAGCACCTACTCAAGTCCTGGGACTTGACCTGGGTCCTGGGTCCTTTTAGAAAATGTATTTAGAAAGATACCTCCCAGAAATTTTCTTTTACCAGTTTTACTTTTTTCTTCCTTAGCTTCCATGAAACTGTATTCTTCTAATTCTTTTCTAACTTCTTTCTCTTCCTCTTCCGCCTCCTAGCTGGTATGGGTGAGGCCTCAGCTGTCTACATTTACAGTTTTGTGTTTCTTAAGTCTTTTTATACTAACTGTAATTGACTTTGTGTATGGTGTGAGATGAAGATCCAAATGTTTTTTCTTTTTCTCCCATATGGCTAAGCAATTGCCCCTGTTCTAAATCTACACTTCCCTTTATTGGTACCTCTAAGAGCAGTTTTAGTTCAGTATATGTCAACTTTTCTTCCTCCTGGATCTTCCCACCTAGATTTCTTCTTTCTAAACTGCTCTTCCTTTTATTCATTTTGGGCCAACAACTCCTGTTAAGGTTCACCATCCAAAGACCACTAAGAACACTATCTGTAGTTAAAAAAAAAAAAAAAGGCGTTTTTAGTTTGCTGCTGCAAGAAAAACCATCCTCCCTAGGACCTCGGGGTGTCTCAGTAAGGAAAAGTGAGCTGAAAGGTGCTCATAGGATTTGGGCCCATGGTGGGTGGTTTTGAAAAGGAATTAGGGAAGCAGGAACCAGTTTTGGAATGACTGCTATCAAAGAGCTGGGCCATTTCAGCATCTGGGCATCTTAGAATGACATAGGGTTGGGATATTATTGGTGGGAAAGAAGCAGTAAGTCATATAAAGGATCGTTCTCATTTTAACAGCTTTGGGTAGAAACATTGTTTTCAGGGTCTTGTCCAGGTCCTGTTGGAAATACTGTTCAAGTTTTGGTAGGAGTAGCCAGTCTGATTATCAGCCAGGCTGATAATATCACCTTTCCTCACTTCTTATCCTTTGAATAAGTTCTTGGCTTAAATATTACCTTCTCGATGACTCATTTTAACCACTGTTGCTTATTTCTTTCCCAGTAATTACTTAATTTTATTGTCTGACGATTTGCCTTTTGTCTTCTCTACTAGAATGCAAGATCCGCGAGGGCAGGAACCACATTTCCCTTCTTCCCCATTATGGCTTTAGTGCCAGGCGTGGTGGGTCCAGAACATCATAGGTGCTCGGGAAACACATATGTGTGAATAACTGAGTGAATAAAAGAAGCCAGGTTAATAGTATGACTAGTTCTGTCAGGTCCGCTCGTCTGTAGCTAAAGTCAGCTAAAAGCAAATCCTCTGCAAGTGAAACAAAGCTGGTGTGAGTGTGACCTTATGTGTTAACACACGTAACAGGGCCCTTCTCAAGCCTATGGTTTTGTGTCGTTCTACTTAATTTTAAAACTCAAGAAGACAGAACAGAATAAGATCTACCTAAAACTTTTATAACACATTTTAATATATTATTTGATATGTACTTGAATATATGATATGTACTTCAGAGTATATGTAACACATGTGAAATATAATAAAATATGTATCAAATGTATCTTAAAATTATATATTATTGGGGTCTTAATTTGCATTTCCCTGATGAATAATGAAGTTGAGTATTTTTTTCATGTTTTTATTGGTCATTTGTGTTTCTTTGTGAAATGCTTTTGTATTTTTTAAAAAAAATATAATCTTTATTATATCTTTTTCAAATACCATTTAGTCCCCTTATGCCTCCCTGCCTCTAGCTTTGTATTTCATCTGCTTATTTTCTGTTGTGTTGCCTTTCTCTATATTTTTGACTTGGAGTCTATTCTGCATAAAAATCAATTGTTATATGTGTTGCAGATATTTTCTCACATTCGATTTTTTTTAAATGCTGTCTTTGGATGTGCAGAAGTCCTTAATTTAAGCATTGTTTTAATGTATTTTTTTTAATACTTAGCACTTTAAAAGATCCTCTTCTATCTTGAAATCATGACAGTATTCTATTAAAAGTTTTAAAGGTTTACCTTTCATATTTAAATCTCTACTTGAGCTGGAATTGATTTTTATGTATGCTGTGAGATAGGAATCCAGTGGGGTTTTTTTCATGTAGCTAATCAGTTTTTCCAGTATCATATTTGTACATGCCCAAGACTTATTTATATTTACAGTTACGAGAGTGGAGGACATAATGTCATAATAGTTCCTTTCTTGATCTTGTACTATTTGTGTTTGACAGGTTTATTTTTTTGTAATTTTGGGTAAAATTCCCGAAGAACTATGAAAGATTATGATGAACTTCTCCAGTACTATGAATTATATGAAACTATTGGGACAGGTAATTGTTATTTTATTCTTGGGGTTAGAGGAACTATTTGACAGTATAGTGCATTTGGGCAGTCATGAGCTTTCTGGTCTAAACTACATAGTTTTAAAATTCTTCAATCTGTTCAATTAGAAAAAGGTGGAGCAAGAGAGAGGCGAGTAGTTAGGAGAGATCTTGTCAGTCATTTAATTTAGAGTGAAAGTCATTGGACAGTTTTGAGCGAAGGAGTGATCTGACCTTTGTTTTTAAGGGTCACTCTCTCTGGCTGTGAAAAGATTGGGTAGAGGAGGGCAAAGGCAGAAGCAGAGATGTTAGGACGTTATTGTAGTAATTCAGGTGAATGATGCTAGAGATGATGATGACTTGGATGAGTGTGGTAGTAGTGAAGGTAGTGAAAGGCTGGGATTCTGTATAGAGACACATACGTATACATATACATGTGTGTACTTTCAGATTTATTGAGGTGTAATGAAGATGCAAAGTGCACTAAGCTCCATGGAGTTTTACGTACATATAACCCCCTGTGTGTCCTGCTCATATCAATATCAAGAATATTTCCAGTCAGTACCTTTCTTTTTTCTCCAAAGTAACCTACCATTGATACATTTTGAGGACAGAGGCAGTAGGATTTGTTGATGGGCTGGATATGGGGTATGAGATAAAAGAAAAAGGCTAAGGATGGCCCCTGGGTTTTGGCCTGAGCACCTGGGAAAATGGAATTGTTAATTTCTGAGATGCGGAAGACCATGGGAGGGACTACTGGGAGCTTCTTTTTAGAAATGTTAAGTTGGCACTTACTTTTAAATACCTGAAGTGTAGACTTTTTCCTGCTTTTGATTCAGTTTTGAAACACTTTCTTATTTCCCCAGTTTTAAAACTGATTGGAAGTTTCATATTTTGTCTTAGTAACTTTTTTGTGTGTTCTAGCAATATTAATTATAAACCAAATTTCTAAAGAGTGAACTCTGTTTTCCTACTTGCTCATTAAAAAATTGAAGATTTACTGGAGAACATATTTGCCAATGATACATTGCACAAGGGTTTAATCTTCAAAATATGGAAAGAACTCAACATTGAGAAGACAAGCAGCTCAATTAAAAAATGTGCAAAGGTCCTGAATAGACAGTTCTCTAAGGAGGACATACAGATGGCCCATAGATATATGAAATGCTACTCAACTTCACTAGCCATCAGAGATGCAAATGAAAGCCACAGTGAGATACCACCTCACACTGGTCAGAATGGCCATCATTGATAAATCAACAAACAAGCTGGTGAGGATGTGGTGAAAAGGGAAAAAATTAAAAATGGAACTGCCTTATGACCTAGTAATTCCACTACTGGTAATATACACATATGCACCTCTTTGTTGATAGCAGCACTATTTACAATAGTCAAGTGCCGGAAACAGCCCTAGAGCCCATCAGTAGATGAGTAGATTAAAAAACTGGTACATTTACACAAAGGAATACTACTCAGCAGAAAGATGTCCTGCCTTTTGCAACAGCATGGATGGAACTGGAGAATATTATGCTAAGCAAAATAAGCCAGTTGGTGAAAGACAAATACTATAGAATCTCACTTATAACTGGAATCTAATGAACAAAATAAACAAATGAGGGAAACAGAACCAGAGACATGGAAACATGGAACAGACTGATAGCTGTGGGTGGGGGTGGGGGTGGTGGAAGGAAGGGGAAGGGACCAGTCAAAGAACATGTATGAATGACTCATGGACATGGACAACGGAGAGGGATTGGCCGTGGGAGTGGAGGTGGGCTGGATGGAGGGGGGCAAAAGGGAAAGCAATTGGGACAACTAATAGAATAAACAATAAAAAATTAAAAATTAAAGACATACTATCATGATAAAAAAAAAAGTTCAGCTAGACATTGGATGAGGAGAGGTTAGGGTAATGGCTAACACTTTGGAAGAAGCAGAAAGAAAGAGCCGTAAACTTAGGGAGAAGTATGGATCGATAGAGCCTTTTAAAAGCAAACAGAACAGTATTTGTTCCTGAGCCCTCACTTTGCTCCAATGTTGATATTTGGGTCTGTCTTGCTTATCTCTTCATAATTTTCCTACATGTAGGTGGCTTTGCAAAGGTCAAACTTGCCCGCCATATCCTCACTGGAGAAATGGTAGCTATAAAAATCATGGATAAAAATGCACTAGGGGTAAGTTTAAAATTATTTTTAAAATATTTATAGACCAGTTTTTTGAATTAAAATGTAAATTTGCTCCAATGTTCTAGTTACTACTTTTATTAGAATAATATTTCTTTTTTTCTTTTTTCTTCCCAATTTTGTTATCCCCTCCTCCCTGCACCCTACTACCCTCCAGCATTGCCCTCTACCACTTAGTTCATGTCCATTGGTTGTACGAATATTTCTGTAGCTTTTTAAATGGCTAATTATGTATAACTGTTAGGTTTTAAAAAATAATGTGAGGGGAAGGGGTTATTTTATCCTTAATTTTAATGCAGGGCAGTGGTGCCTGTTTGAAGCCTGTAGGATCTATTTTCCTGCTGTTGTTCGGTGGTCTTGGAGGTGTTTCTGGGTATCAGTATTGCCCTTCTTTATCTTCTCATGATACTCTTACTCAGTGTCACCTATGTTATAGGGTACGTAGGTCTTATATCCCATAATTTTATTCAGAGTGAACTTAGAAGTTATCTGATGAAATCCTCCTTTCCTTGATCGTCCTCTTTTTCCTCTGCATGAATGCTTCTGGGTGTGAGCTGCTCATTACTTCCCAGTGCAGCCCGATTGATTTGTGGTTTTGGTTATGAAGTTTTTTGCTTTTTATTAAGGGAAAAAAATCTGTCTCTTTTGATGATCTTTATGGGTCTTTTATACCCTTTCAGTGTTTGTACTCACCCTGAGTGATTTTTTTTCTTTTAATTTATCATTCCTCATATGGTTTAGTTTTGACCAATAATTCAGGCTCTTCAATATTTTTGTTTATCTGTGCTCAGTATTTACTAAGTGAATAAAAGGGCATTATAAACCATTTTTCTTGAGCATTTAAACATTGCAAATCTGATTAATTTCCTTAAGCAATTTAAAATTTAATTTCAACTTTAGTATGACTTAGTCACTTAAACACTGTAAGTAGTACAATAGCAAACAAAATGTGTATTGTTATTACAAAATGTGTTACCACACTGATACTCAAAACTTACTCTAAGCCCTGGCTGGGTAGCTTAGTTGGTTAGAACATTGTCCTGATCTGCCAAGGTTGTGGGTTCAGTCTCCAGTCAGGGCAGATACAAGAATCAACCAATGAATGCATAAATAAGAGGAACAACCAACTAATGTTTCTCTCTCAATTAAAAATTCATTAATCTATTTCCAAACTTTTTATATTTTCTGTTGTTATGCCTATTTTAGCTACTTCTTAGGACTTGAATGATATTTTGATTACTGCAAGGGCCCAAGTTATCAGACTCCCACTCTCCCCAAAAAGAAAAAAGTGAGATTATCATATTAGAATAGTGAAAGTTACCACTGATTCTTGGCCAGGACCTGACATCTGGTTGCATGGTCCTAGATAATTGGATCTTAAGCCACTGATGATTAGATGGAATCCATTTTTATCATAAAGTTTTACATGTTACTTCATGGATTTCTAGATTTCTGTCTTTAATATGGATTTTGAAATTCTTTCAGCGTGGCTCATCCTCCTCCTTCCCAACCAGCTTTTTATTTTGAAAAATTTTAAGTCCCTATAAAAATTGGAAGGCCGAGGTAGTGAACACCCTCATACCTTTTACCCACGTGCACTGCTTTTCAGGTCAGCATGCCTCTTATGGAACATCGCGAAGAACAAAGTGGTGGCTCAGGCTCGCACACTAAGCAGTGTTTCTGTCATTTTCTTTTTTTGGAATGCTAACCTTCTCACGGAGTTCGAGATTTAAAAATTTTTTTCTGCACTTAGTACTATTGACCCACGATGAACTTGTCTTTCATAAAACCCTCAAGGCCTTTTCTAATGTACATACAAATAAGTTTTCTTATATTTTTTCTGTATTGTTGAACAGTTTGTTTTGAGGGCGTTGATTGCTTTTGCTACTCAGTGTTAAAGCTGTTGATACTGATGCTTGCAAACCTTCCCACACTGGTTTACTGAATATTTAACATAATGTTTTGTCACAGAGTGATTTGCCCCGGATCAAAACAGAGATTGATGCCCTGAAGAACCTGAGACATCAGCACATATGTCAGCTCTACCATGTGTTAGAGACCGCCAACAAAATATTCATAGTTCTTGAGGTTTGTAGTATGGTTAGAGACTAAAGGTGTTTGTTCACTGTCTTAGTCCGTTTGAGCTGCTATAACTAATATCACATCCCGGGAAGGTTATGAACAAAATAAATTTATTTTTCACAGTTCTGGAAACTGGGAATTCCAAGATCAAGGCACCGGTATGGTTGGGTGAAGGCTTTCTTCCTGATTCAGAACTGGGGCCTTGTTGCTGCATCCTTACATGTAGAAGGGGCGAGGGATCTCTTTGGAGCCTCTTTAAAAAAAAAATTTTTTTTGATCGAATTCATTGGGGTGACATTGACTAATGATATTATATAGGTTTCAGGGGTACAATTGTATACTATATCATCTGCATATTGTATTGTGTGCTCACCAGCCAAGTCAAGTCTCCTTCCATCACCATTTATTCCTCTCTTCACCCTCTTTTACCTCCCTCCACTCTCAAGAGTCTCTCATAAGAGCACTGATTTCATTCGGGAGGGCATCTCCCTCACGTGCGAATCAGCTCCCAGAGGCTGCCTCCTCATGTCATCTTTGTGGCTTAGGGTTTCAACATTGGAATTTTGGGTGGGAACAAACGTTCATACCATTTCCATTCACTTTATCAGTAATTAAGAGAAAAGTATGTTTCACCTGAAAGATTAGAATAAATATTAAGTGGGTTACCTGTTTGAGTTCTGTCTATAACAAGTTAGATCACGTAGACATATATAATAAATTGGCAAGTCATTGTAAACATACCCTTTCTAACACACTCCTCGTGGGGAGGTGTGGTTTAATGGACAGGATGTGTGAGAGTTTGTCCCTAGGGGGAAGGATTCATTTCAGTTTAATGGTGTATTAATCTAGGGCTGCTGTAACAAATGACCACAAACTTGGTGGTTTAAAACAGAAATTTATCGTCTTACAATTCTGAAGGGTAAAGTCTAAAATCAGAGTGTGGGCAAGATTCTTTCTGGAGAATCTGTTTTTTGCCTCTTTTCTGGTTTCTGATGGTTACTGGTAATCCTTGGCTTATAGATGTATCTCTCTATTTCCTGTCTTCAAACGGTCTGCCCTAATCCAGTAGGACCTCATCTGATTTGATTACATCTACGAAGATCTTATTTACAAATAAGGTCACAATTACTAGTACTGGGTGTTAGGACTTGAACTTTAAACATATCTTTGGGGGACACAGTTCAGCCCACAGCCTTCAGTGCATGTGTTATGTGAATCAAATTCTTTTGAGTTTTAACCTGCCCTTTTTGGCTTGAAGCATAAAGTCTTTAGAACTTGTATCATTCATCTCTTGTTTTATTTTCCTTAGTCTCAGCCAGGTAATTTGTAACTTCACATCATTTTCACAGATTAGCTCTGCTTTAAAAGCACATTTTAAAATTCATAATGCCGAAAGTTTTGGACCTAGAACTATTTTCCTCTTATTACACTATATATCCACGCACATGGTCAATAGTGGTGATTTTACAGACTCTTTAAAAAGCTATTCCCTTTGTCCAAATAAAATACTTAAAAAGCAAAACAAAAGCAACAAAAAACCTTTCATGAACTTAGGACAAAATAGAGAAGGTGTAAGAGTATATATTAAAAATAAATAAAATGCTCTGTCCTGTATCCCAGTCATCCAGTTATCTTGTGCTTTTCCATGCACTTATAAATACCTGTGTGTGTGTGTGTGTGTGTGTGTGTGTGTTTTACTGCGGTGCAGACTTACACAGCACAAGTTTATTTTTTCTTTTTAAAGTATATTTGATTGATTATGCTATTACAGTCGTCCCATTCTTTTTTCTCCTCTTTATCCCCCTCTGCCCAGTGCCCCTGTTCCCACCAGCATTCCTTCTCCCCTTAGTTCATGTCCATGGGTTGTGCATATAAGTTCTTTGGCTTCTACATTTCCCATGCCATTCTTAACCTCCCTCTGTCTGTTTTGGAACTACCATTTATGCTTCTTATTCCCTGTACCTTTTTCCCTATTCTTGTACCTCCTCCTTCCCACTGATAACCCTCCATGCGATCTTCATTTCTATGATTCTGTTCCTGGTCTAGTTGTTTGCTTAGTTTTGTTTTGTTTTTATTTTTTTAGGTTCAGTTGTTGATAATTATGAGTTTGTTGTCATTTTATTATTCATAGTTTTAATCTTTTTTTTTCTTAGATAAGCCCCTTTTACATTTCCGGTAATAAGGGCTTGATGATGATGAACTCCTTTAACTTGACCTTATCTGGGAAGCACTTTATCTGCCCTTCAATTTTAAATGATAGCTTTGCTTGATAGAGTAATCTTGGATGTAGGCCCTTGCTTTTTATGACTTTGAATACTTATTTCCAGCCCCTCTGGCCTATAGACTTTCTTTTGAGAAATCATCTGACAGTCTTATAGGAACTCCTTTGTAGGAAACTGTCTTCTTTTCTCTTGCTGCTTTTAAAATTCTCTTCTTTATTCTTGGCTAATGTAATTACGGTGTGTCTTGGTGTGGTCTTCTTTGGGTCCAACTTGTTTTGGACTCTGTGAGCTTCCTGGACTTATATGTCTATTTCCTTCACCAGATTGGGGAAGTTTTCTTTCATCATTTTTTCAAATAAGTTTTCTATTTCTTGCTCTTCTTCTTTTCCTCCTGTACCCCTTTGATTTGGATATTGAAACGTTTAAAGTTGTCCCAGAGGTTCTTAAGTCTCTCCTCGTTTTTTTTGAATTGTTTCTTCATTCTGTTCTCGTTGAATGTTTATTTCTTCCTTTTGTTCCGAATTGTTGATTTGAGTTTCTATTTCCTTCCCTGTGTATTTTTCTTTAAAAAAAAATTCTATTTATTTATTTTTTAGAGAGAGGGGACAAGAAGGAGAAAGAGTGGGAGAGAAACATCAATATGTGGTTGCCTCTCATGTGTCCCCTACTGGGGACCTGGCCTGCAGCCCAGGCATGTGCCGTGACGGGGAATCAAACTGGTGACACTTTGCTTCACAGGCCCATGCTCAATCCACTGAGCTATACCAGCCAGGCCCTGTGTATTTTTCTTTATTTCACTTTGTATGGCCTTCACTTTTTCCTTTATTTTGCAGCCATATTCAGTAATTTCTTTGAGCATCCTGATTACCTGTGTTTTGAATTCTGTATCTCATAGGTCAGCTGTCTCCTTATTGCTTAGTCCTTTTTCTGGAGTTTTGATCTGTTTAATTTGGGTGATATTTCTTTGTCTGCGTGCACCTGTTATGTTGTAAGGGGCAAAACCTTAGGTATTTGCCATGGCGGGGCAACCCATTCTGCTGTGTTGTGGTGCTGCATGTGGAGGAGGGGTCTGAGAAGGAGCAGTGCTGCTTTCCGGGCTCTTGCCCTGCTTTCTGTCACTTCCTCTGCTACCCGCAAGTGAATTGAGCTCTTTGTGGTGCTCCCCGGGTGCTGATTCCTGGGTGGGTGAGGTTGTGTACATTCTAGGACCCTGGAGGACCCTCAACAGACTCTCCTGTGAGACTGGCAGTTTCTCTCACTGCTACAAGCCCCACAGGTGTTTACAGCCAGAGGTTTTGAGGCTTTATTTCCCCGCAGTGGAACCCTGGGTTACGCAGTTTGTCTTGATCTCTAGTTGCTCCTCCCAGTTTATCTGCACATGAATGCGGGACCACTGGCTTCGCCAGCTGCCGCCTGGTCCACCTGGTTTGCCAGCTGCTGCTGCCTTGCCACACATGCTCTCTGTCTCCACCGCCTGTCTCTGCCCCTCCAGTCTGGATGAATTTTTCTTCTTTAACACATTGGTTGTCAGGCTTCCATACAGTTTGAATTTCTGGCAGTTCTGGCTGTGTTTTGCTTTAAATTGGTTGTTGTCCTTCTTTTGGTTGTGCGAGGAAGTGAAGCATATTTACCTATACCTACATTTTGGCTGGAGGCTACCTTTTTTCCCTATGTATATTTTACTTAGTTATTCATTTTTTATTTTTTTAAAGATTTTATTTATGTTTAGTGGGGGAGAGGGAGAAAGAAAGGTAGAGAAACACTGATGTGCAAGAGATGCCTCGATCAATTGGTTGCCTCTTGCATATCCACAACTGGGAAATAGGCCTGCAACCCAGGTATGTGCCCTGACTGGGAATTAAACCAGCGACTTTTTGGTTTGCAGGTCAGCTTTCAACCCACTGATTTACACCAGCCAGGGGCCCTGTGTATATTTTATACAAACATACATATGTGTCATTTATTGGTTTATGTCACATAAATGGTCCCATGCTATATTATTCTGTACCTTGTGCTTTTTTTCCCCCACTTAACATTTTAGCTTGCAGACCATTTATGTACACTTGTAGAGATTTTTAATGCTTTTGTTTCACTTTATTTTATATTTCTTTTGTAAAGTAGGCTTTTTAATGTCAATCTCATTGGATAGCGTTGAATACAATTGATTATTGAGCTATAATTTTTATAGGATAAAATGCACACAGGTGCACAGTTTGAAAAGGTACACATCCGTGTTCTTTCCACCCCAGTCAAGGGAGAAAACATTTTCATCACCCCAGGAAGTTTGATTCTGACTCTTCGATGTTAATCCCTGCTGTCCCACCTGCCTACTGCCCTTCTCAGCAACCACCCATCTGATTTCTGTCCTTGTAGGTTAGTTTTACCTGTTCTGGAACCTGATATACATAGAATCACACAGTCCATACTCACGTGTTTGGCTTCTTGTGTTCAGCAGAATGCTTTTTGTAAATCACCATCAATATATATGGTGTAAACAAAAAGTTTTACACCTTGCTTTTACACCTTGCTTTTTTCCTCTTAATACGGGAGATTGTTTTATATCAGTTCATGAAGAGCTTCCTATTTATGGCCACATGGAATTCCATTTTATACAAGTGCCATCATTTATATAGTGCCAACATATTTGGGTTGTTTCCAGTCTTTTGTTGTTACAAACAGTGCCACTTCGGTGAGTGATCTTGAATGTGTGTTGTTTTTGTTATGAGAGTATATCTTCAGGAGCAATTTCTAAATGTGAAACTAGGAGGTCAAAGGCTGTATACCATAGTACTATAATTTTAATTGATACTGCTAAAATAAAGTAAGGTCTTGAATGGAAAGCCCAGTTTACAGAAAAACGAAGCTGCCCTGGAGAAGAAGGGATGGAAAGCCTAAAGCTCTGTGCCCTGGTATCTGTTCTCTGCAACCTCAGAGGGGCCCCCGTGGAACTGGGCTTCTCATACAGACTTAAAGTCACTGGTCTTTGGGATGCAGAAGCAATAATTGCTGCTGAGTTTTTCGTTTCAGGTAACCACACTAAATACGAGTGCCTTAAGATGAAAATGGGTTTTACTTGTTAGCCATAAAAGTATTAAACTCAGAAAGAACTTAAAAATCACAGTAGTAGTTAGTTCTACTTCTACTTACTGGTAATAAAACTGCTTGAGACCAAGGGCTATTGTTCTTTCCTGGAATAACGCTTGATTTGTTTGATCTTGAGAGTGTATTTTTCAATGAGCTGCACTCAGTTCCCTTGCTTATATGTTTAATTAATTTCTCTGAGTGCTGTATGATTTTTTTATTTTAAATTCCTTTGAGGCGAGTTTTGCAAGTAGTAACACTATCTGTCTGACTCTGTTGCTGTTGAAGTATTGCCCTGGAGGAGAGCTGTTCGACTACATAATTTCCCAGGACCGCCTGTCGGAGGAGGAGACCCGGGTCGTCTTCCGTCAGATCGTCTCTGCAGTGGCTTATGTGCACAGCCAGGGCTATGCTCACAGGGACCTCAAACCAGTAAGTGACCGAGTTATAGTCAACTGAGAGTTCAACATCAATTACTTGTTATTCCTAGGTTCTTTCTGTTTAGAATCCATCTTCTTTTAAATTTTTGATTTTAGAGAAAGGAGAAAGAGAGGGAGAGGCACATGTTTTGGCTGCCTTCTGTGTGTGCTCATAACCGAACCTGTAACCCAGGTGTGTGCTCTAATTGTGAATCGAACCTGCGACCTTTTGGTTTGTGGGCTGACTCTCAAGCAACTGAGCCACACTGGCTGGGCTAGAATCTATCTTTGCTATTTTTTTCCTCCGCTATAGTATATCACTCCCCACCTCCTTTTGACTTCTAGTAAGCTCTTTTCAATGAACTTATTGACATTATATTTATCTAGCCAGTCGGGTGTGACATTATAAATGTCTTTGTAATCAGCTGTGGAGTATAAACCTTAGGATTTTATCTCTAGGAAAAAAGAGTTTTAAGTATTTTTCATCCAGTACTCTTCCTAACTGTGCTGTTCTTTAATTTTAATTCCATTATACCTCAGAAAGGAACAGTTCAGTGCATGGACAGACTGTACTTTTCTTTCTTTTTTAAAAAATATTTTATTTATTTATTTTCAGAGAGAGGGAAAGGGAAGGAAGAGAGAGTGGGAGAGAAACGTGGATGTGAGAGAAACATCAATCGGTTGCCTTTCACAAGCCCCCAGTTGGGTACCTGGCCTGCAACCCAGGCATGTGCCCTGACTGGGAATCGAATCAGTGACCTTTCAGTTCATAGGCCAGCACTCAACCCACTGAGCCACACCAGCCAGGGTGACTGACTATACTTTTCAAGGACAGAATAAAAATGTGAATACACTTTTAAGTCTGCAGACTCCAATTAATGTGGATGCTGGTGAACCTGGATTTTAAGGTCGCTTAGTACCAGGGTCAGGAACCTAGAAGTGGTCCAGCAGTTTACGGCAGTGTCACTGTCATTTTCCTTCTGTTTGTACTCAGCCCTTTGGTTGGAGCTCATCTTTGCGTTTCAGTTTGCCTTTAGCACACACTGTTTGCTCGTGGGTGAACCTCAGAGCACCAGGAAGAAAATCGCCTGCCAATGTGTCTGGGGGGAAAGCGGGATGTAGTTATCAACGTTTCTCCCCTCTCCCTTTATATACTTCTTGTCCTTTCATTATTTTTTAAGGTGATTTTCACTCCGTGGTACTCAGGTTTCTAAATATAAAAACCGTAAATCGTTTTTAGAAATGGCTACAGGTGGAATGTGTTATAAGGAAGTCACTATTTAGTTATGAAAATGTCTTCATTTTTTTAGGAAAATTTGTTGTTTGATGAATATCATAAAGTAAAGCTGATTGACTTTGGTCTCTGTGGGAAACCCAAGGTAAGTGCAGAAATAAAAATGTAACTGTTTCCTTTGTAAATGTACACTAGGGTGTGGTATTTTGCCCTGACTTCCGCTGAGGGTTTCTTGTATGTGCCCTGAGCAGGGATCAAACCCTCAACCTTGGTGTATCGGGACAAGGCTCCAGCTGACTGAGCTACCCAGCCAGAGTGTTCACTAAGTGTTTATTGAGCATCTGGTTGCATCTGTTGAGAAGAATGTTACATTTCATCCCTTTTATAAGCTCTCTAAATGACTAATATGTAGCCAAAATAGAGCACCACTGCTCTAGGTCCAGACCCGGTCCTGCCGAAGGTCCCGCGGGTGTGACGTGGGAGAGTCTGCAGTGCTGGGCTGACAGGAAGCCGTCGCAGTGTGAACGCTGAGTTGATCATGTGTTTGCAGTTTGACTGCGCTGCCACTAGATGATGCCTTTGTTCGTATGAGTTTGGGGGATTTAGTGGAAATCCATTCTTTGTTATCCAAATGGTTACATAACTAACAATTAGTTACATTTTGAGAGATGTCCCCCTTTCCTTATAAAAGTAGGGAAAAGTTCATATGTGCTTTTAAATTTATCCTGTTACATATTTCCTTGATTTCCATGGTGGAGACTGGCGTTTTCCAGCATACCTTCTCTTTGAGGTGACTTTGAACTTTCCACCTCTGCTGTCTGCAGTAGAGCCCCTGGATGGTTGCCTGTTGGAGGCTTCCTCCTGAGCTCTGCACCGACAGTACTCAGAGTCTCTAAAGTGAGCTGTTTGTACTCATTAAGAATGTTGAGGCTGCAGGCCTTGCAGTCCCATAATTATTTCCTGCCCCGATCAGAATTACCTAGGCACGCAGGGAATCAGATTTTGCCCTTTTGGCTGAATGTCTGATTCTTCTTGATTTTTCTCTCTTTCCCTTGGTTCTTCAGATATTGTCAGTGGAGCTTTGTGTCTGGGTACCCACATGGTAGAAGGCGTTTATTTCATTGGCTGGTTTGTAAAGATAAAACGTACTTTGAGCCGATGTACTGGTTTAAGCCATATTCTCCACAGGAAGCAGTGGACAATGTGACAGCCTCCGTTACCTTTTGCTTGTGGCTGACACAGATTGATACACGCAGACGCCATCTAAAAAGCCACCGGGCGTGGCTGGGAGAGGAGAGCCTCAGCCCTCTGCCAGAGGGGCTCACTTCTGGGCGTGTCGTTGCAGTTGTGAATGAAGCCTCACAATTTCACAAGTCATTTGGCAGTTGTAGAACTCTGCACTACAGGTGTTGGGCAGTAGTACCATTTTCACTGTGTCTTAATATTTCTGCTGGGGAGCAGAGGAGGTTGAGCAGATTCCTCATTTTAGTGGATCTGGAAGCTCAGGTTGTGTTTGGTGTTCACCTAGACTAGAAATCAGACTCCCAAGGTGTTGTTCTGAGTAGCCTATTGCTTTCTTCCCTGTAGGGAAAAAGAAAGCTCTTCTGTATTTACAGGAATAGTTTGGTATTGCAGATAGGATCCATAAGGAAATCATCTTTTTTTCCTTGAGTACTTGGGAGTGGGAAGACAAAGGTGCTTGGAAGTATGCTAAGCTGATTATTATGCAAATGATGTGTAGGGAAGTACGAACCCCATTTGACTGAGCCCAGGGAAAAGGATTTTGTTCCGAGCCAGGTTGTAGTGCTGTTGGAAATCCAGAGGAGAGAAACCACATGTGCATGCATGCATGGAGGCGGAGAGTATTGGGTTGGCCCCAGAAGTCTTTTATTATTTGGGGTAATTCTTCTTCTAGCTTCTCTTTGCTCATGCTGAAAGGTTTAATTCTCTTAAGGGCTGTAATGAATGTGTTTCATTTTTATTTTATTGACAGGGTAACAAGGATTACCATCTACAGACATGCTGTGGGAGTCTTGCTTATGCAGCGCCCGAATTAATACAAGGCAAATCATATCTGGGATCAGAGGTAATTATTTATTGGTTAATTCAGTATATAATCAATATACATTTATTGGTTACCTGTAGCAAGGCAGGCACTGTGCATTGGGGATATAATGATGTGGTAAGAAGTAATCTTGTTAATTAAAGAGTTCAGGCTATTCAGAGAGTGAGATATAAAAAGTAATAAATGAACAACTGTAATAAATATAAAAATGCATAATATACCTGCAAAGCAGGGATATATCTCTGCGATCCTTGTTGTGGATGCTTTTGTGTTAAACAGTGTCATATTTAAGGCGGTTTAGTCCAGCCAGGTAGAGCACAAGGCCATCAGTTTTCAGAGATGCTGGTTAGCACGGAAAGAAATCTGTACTTTGTCCATAGCCAGCTACTCTAGGCCAGGTGTCCTGTGTAGGAGGCCCAGGCTCAGAAGGCCTGGTCATTGCCTGCTTTACCACTGGCTGCTACAAGTAATCTAGCCCCTTCCATTTTTCTGGAGACTAATTTTACGGACAATAATATCGTAAGGAAGGTTTGGCCATCAAAAGCTCAGTAAATGCTGGCTAGGATGGACAGTTTTCTTAGGTTCATGACATTTCCACATCTTTGATATGTTCTTGTACACAGTGAGCCTTTGGGAGGGGACCGTCACAGCGGCTGGTCTCAATTTTATTTGCCCACAGAATGCACTTTTTATATAAAGAGTATCTTTTGGAGCTAGTGTTATGTGGGAGAAACTTTGAGATATGCCAGTTTACTTAATTTGTAACAGTAAGATGGTAACTAACTTGTTTTTGGTGACTTTTTGTTTGGATATAAACTCAAACTTAAAGAATAGTTGCCAGTATGGAAGAGAAACTTTTGTATATATTTAGTCAATTTCACAATTGTTTACATCTTTCCCTATTTGCCTTATTATCTTTCCATGTTTATACATATGGATGCTGCTTTTTGAACCGAGAGTGAGTTGGAGACATACCCCTTTATCATTAAATACTATGTATATGTTTTCCTATAAGCAAGGACCTTCTCTTTTATAATGATACTTTAGCTATCAACATCAGGGAATTTAACATTTGATACAATTTATTTAATCCACAATTCATATTCCAGTGGTATCAATTGTACCAACAATGTTTTTTATAGCTATGTTTTCCCTCTAGTCCTGGATTCAGTTTGGTCTCATACATTGTATTTAGTTGTCTTGTTTCTTAGATCTTCTTTAATGTGGAAGAGTTCTTAGGCTTTCCCTTTTTTCTTCATAAAAAAAAATTAATTGACTCCATGTCTTGGTAGTGTGGCCTAATGTGGTTGGTGTCCTGTAGGGTCCAGTGGCACAGCCTCCTGTATCACTCAAGCTGGGTACTTGAGGTGTGCCCTTCATGTGGACTGAATACACCCTCCTCTTGTAGTTGGGCCTTGGTTGCTGTTAGCAGATCAATGGGAGGGATTTCCCCAGGCCAGTCAGCTGCAAGGACTGGCTGTGACCACTGACCACCAACCTCCACCCTTTGTGGAGGATCAGCTGTGCCGGGGTAGGGTGGTGGTACTTTGACATGGTCTGTACCTGTCCACTGGGTGCGCAGGCTCTGGGGTTTTTCAGGTGGTGCAGGCCAAGGTCAGCCCCCACCTGTGTTGTGCCCCAGTTCCACCCTACGTGAGGTATAAAGCAACTTGAGATGGCTGCTACTTGTGCTGGGCTTCAAGGTTTCCAGGCAAAGCGAAGCTGTGAATCTAGGCTGGCTGCTGCTAGTGCCAGACCTGGGGCCACTTAGCGAGAGGTACAGAGCCTCAGTGCTCGCTGAGGCTGGCTGTTGCATATTTGAGAGGATTTAGGAAGTTGTGAAGCATGAGCCAAGACCAGTCATTCGTATGAAAAAGCACCTTGGGTGGGCTGGTCAGCTGGGTGGGGCAGGGTCTCAGGATTTTCAGGGCAGGGTGTTGGCAGGATTGATGGAGTCTCAGATAAGGCACCAGCCTGCTGGCTCTGTGGCTCTCTGTGGGTGGGTTCAGAAAAGGGACAATGGCTTCGCCCTGGGAGAAAGCTTTCCCCTAATTCTCGCCTTGGTGCCTGACATTTCATTCAGTTCTTCCCTCTGTGTTACTGGTGCCTTTTAAGCTGCTACCCTGCAGCTTGAGGGAGCTCAGAGGGAGTGAGTCTGGGTAAGTCTGTGTGTGGATTCTTTAAGAGGAACTGCTTGGAGCTCCAGAAGTTTCTTCCACTGACTCAATCTCCACTGGTTTTTGTAGCCAGAATTTATGAGGACTTACCCTCCTGGCACTGGAACCCTGGGTTGGAGGGCCTGGTGTGGGGCTGGGACTCCTCACTCCTGAAATATCCCTCCCAAAATTTTATCCACCACACGTGGATGTGGGACCAGCCTTTTCTGCGTTTCTCATTCTCCTGCCAGTCTGGATGGATGTGGTTTCTTTAATTCTGTAGTTGTCAGTTTCCATTCATCTTGATTTCTCTTATGGTTCTGAGTCATGGTTGTTCTTTAATTTAGTTGTAATTTTGATGTGGTTGTGCGAGGGGGTGAGCGGTGTTTACCTGTGCTGCCATGTTGACCAGAAATCCTCCCCATAACATAAAATCTTAACCATTTTTAAGTCTACAGTTCATTAATGTTAGGAACATTCACGTTGTTGTGCAACCAATCTCCAGAGCTCTCATCTTAGAAAAGTTTTCATCTTGCAGAACTGAAACTATATACATTAAATGGTTAATCTTCATTTCTCCCTTTCCCCTACCCTCAGCATCCACTCTTCTGCTTTCTTTCTCTGTGAATTTGAGTAGTCTCGCTGTCATATATAATAGCGTCATACAATATTTGTCTTTTTGTGACTGGCTTATTTCACTTAGCAGAATATCCTCAAGGTTCATCCATGCTGTAGCATGTGACAGGGTTTCCTTCCTTTTTAAGGTTGAATAATATGCCATTGTATGCATGTGTCACGTATTGTTTATCATTCCTTCTGCGGATGGAGCTGGGATTGCTTCCACTGTTTGGTTTTTTATTGTGAATAGTGCTGGTAGAAACAAATCTCTTTGAGACCTTGCTTTCACTTACTTTGGATCAATACCCCAAAGCAGAATGGCTGGGTTGTATTTTAAAGCGATCGTTTAATTGTTTGAGGGACTGCCACACTAATTTTCGTACTGGCAGCAAACAGTTTACGTTCCCACAACAGTGCCCAAGGATTCCACATGCTCAATGCTTCTTACATTTTATTTAAGCCCCCCACCCCCAAATCCTTTGAATGAATACTGTTACTCCATTTCATCATATAAAGAAAAGGAAGAACTTGGGACATAGAAATGAAAATGCGTTCACCGGGTCCCAGCTGGCAGCTCTGGGTCAGTCTGGACCTGAGTGAGGCTCTACTGCGTACCCGTGTCCCGCCCTGTCTTCTGGAAGGAGCGGGAATCACAGGCCCAGCACTCACAAGGTTCCTCAGGGACCCAGATAAGGCTCTCCTGGTTTGAATGCACCTGAGATTTTCCTGTAGTATCTTTAAATTGTTTTCTTGTCTGTTTTAGTTTCACTTTCTATCCTTTTCTTTTGTAAAAAAATGCCCTTCTTACCTCTTAAATTTTGGGTAAGGCTCAAAAGAGAGTGAGAGCTGTGACTTCTCAGCGAACAGTGGCATCATTATTGACAAAGACCAGACACTGCTTGTCTAAGTAGTTAGCGCGCAGGACTCCTGGGGCACACAGATATCTTCCATAAAGGTTAAGCTCCTTTGTGGGATTTTGAGATTTGCAGGGCTGTTTGTGCTGGCAGGCTCGTTTCTAGCCTCTGTATTTGAAACGTCAGTTGTTGAACTTTATTAGGGTTTCTCTACATAGAGAGGACTTTACAGTGCAGCTTATCACATTTGCAGATTATCAGTAGCAAATTTTAAGACTTGTTTTGACATCCACATGGGTATTTACATAACCCTCCTAGGTAATAAACCTCAGCAGCACTGTAGAATTATCTTTCAGAATCAGAGACCTGGCCTCACCTCCTTTCTTATTGTGCCCAGTCCAGCCCAACCAACTGGAAGTTATTTTCGATAAAGTGTTAGAGTCCAGCATTAGAGGAGAGTGAGCTGAACTGGACATCAGGTGACCTGCCTGGGTGGCCTAGGTGACTTTGGAGAAGCCTTCCTTTCTGGGCTTCAGGTTCCCTGCCTGTAAGAATGAGCAGGTTTAATTGGATGGCCCCGGAGATCTTTTCTAGATCTGTGAAGATTCTGTGAGTCTAGTATGTGTACTGCCATTCTCAAATATGTCCTAAAGTTTGGGGGATTATTATTTTTTTCTCCCTCTCAGGCAGATGTTTGGAGCATGGGCATTCTCTTATATGTGCTTATGTGTGGCTTCCTACCATTTGATGACGATAATGTCATGGTTTTGTACAAGAAGATCACGGTGAGTACTCCAAGCATTAATTTCAATATAAAAGTTTTCTATACTGCGCACTAAATGCTTGTGTTTATAAAAATACAAAAACAGGCAGAAGTAATCTATGCTGTTAAAAGTCAGGATAGTGGTTACTCTCTGGAGGTGGGGAGGGACTGGTGGAGGGGCATGTGTTCTGTTTCTTGATCTGGGTGCTGGCTACACTTGTGTACTCAGTTTTTGAAACTTACCAAGTTGTGCCCTTAGGAGATGAGTACTTGTCTATGTGTATGTTATATTTCTCTAATAAAAAGCTTAAGAGAAGCAAACGAATGGGGAAGTAAACATGTAAGGTGATTCTCATTTTGTATCCTGAAATGATACTTTAGTCAGTTGTGGTAAATCACATTTTCCTATGGTAAAATATTTCCTAAGGTAAAATAATAACTTTCTTTTTGAGGGTAAAATTTGGCTTTAAGGTATAATAAAACTGCTATAAGCTTTGTTAAAATCCTGTATGTCACAGTGACAGAAAGTGGATTTGTGGTTGCGGGCTGGGGGTGGGCGGCAGCGGGAGCGACTGCTTGTGGGTACGGGATTTCCGTGTGTGGTGATGAAAACATTCTGGAATGAGACAGCGATGACGGTTGCCTAGTTTTGTGAATGTACTAAAAACACTGACTTGTGTACGTTAAAAGGGTGAACTTTATGTTGCGTGAATTATATTAATTGAAAAAACACAAAGTCATACAGAGCAAGGAAAAGAGTAAAATTCTTTTAAAAAAGTTAATATTCAAAGCAAGCTAGCAGTAGAAGATAGGCAAAGATGAAGCAAGAGCGCCATATTGTGTCTGCAGCAAACGGGGTTCTGACCAGCAGGGCAGCTTCTCTGAGTGCGGCTTGAATTCAGTTCTGTTCAGCGAGTGTCTCCTAAAGGTCTTCTTTGTGTGAGATACTGAAAGGCATGAACAAAGATCTCTGAAAACCGATCTTTGTCCACCAGGGCCTGCTTTCTTGTTGAAGACAGGTCTGAGGCTATCTGTTTCAAAAGGGCAAAGGGCTAGGATGCCATATTATAACAGAGGTGTAAATGAAGTTCTTACAGGAGCCAGCATGGGGTTTAGGAGGAAGTGAGGTTTGAGCAGGCTGTAAAAGAAGGGTAGAAGTGCTTCAGAAAGGGATGTGGGAGAGAGTATGCCTGGTAGACTGTGTGAGCAGAGGCGTAAGATGGGAGAAGCATGAGGAGAAATGCTAAGACGTTTTCTATGACTGGACCATTGGGTCTATAACACGCTTTACGTAGGGAGACTACCTAAACCAATTCTCACTTCTGGAAAGTTGCACAGAGTTGCAAGTGGTAGTTTCCAGTGGCCCATTGCCTGCCTCATAGAAGTCTAAGAGCACTATGTTCAATCTTCAGTTTTTAACATTTATTTGGCTTAGTAGCTTTTCCTGTATCTCACCTTGGGAATTGCATTGAGAAATTTTGCCTAATATTCATGTAACCACCATCATAGTCAGAAGTGTTAACCAAAAAATAAAAGGCTAAAGTGAAAGGTAACAAGCATTATTTGAGGTCACAAAAGAATAGCTATTTGGGAAGCACTGATTCAAGCAGAAACCCCAATGGTGTTCGGATTAGGAGACCAAGGCGGGGGGATTCCTTAGAAAGGGAAGGGGTATTGCATCAATAGAAGGAAGGCATTTCTATTGGTGCAGATAAGCTAACACGGTGACACTGATTCAAAACAGTGCTTTTAATTCCAAGTTGGGGACTTCCACCAAGATGGAGGCATAGGTGGATATGCCATGCCTTCTCACACAACCAAGTTTAGAGACAACTATATATTAGCAATAGAAAACACAGCCAGAACACAGAAAATTGAACTTTTCGGAAGTCTGTTAACAACAAATTCTTCAGCCTTACCGGTAAGAGGCGAAACCAGCAGCTGGTGGAGCGGGGTTGGACAGGAAAACTCGGTCAGACGGACTCAGGTACGCGGAATCCAGGCGCAGGGTTGGACCTAGTGAGCCACCGAGCGAGCTACCAAGAGAGCGACCGCAGGGGAAACAGCGAGGGATCAGGGCTGTGGGTTGACTGTGGTCGCGCATTTGTGCGCAGATAGACAAGCGAGGGAGTGGGCGGTTGGACCGGAACCCAGCGGGTCCCCCGCAGCAAGCGGCAGGGAGGGCACCACCATTTCCCCGCTCTGACCACGCCCCCACATACAGCGTCACAACCCAGCGACCTGGGAGTCCAAGGCGCCACTCCTCACACTTAAAGGGCAAGAACAGACCAAAAATGGCGCAAGATCTCAAAGCCCCAGAGGCCTATAAATCTAAGCGAGGAAGAAATAGCAAAACTCTCAGACGCACAGTTTAAAACACTGGTGATCAGGATCCTCACAGAACTGGTTGATTATAGCCACAAATTAGACAAATATATGAAGGCGAAACTAATTGAAATGAATGGAATTGCACAGGACACCAACAGCAATGAAAAGGAAACTGGGACTCAAATCAATGGAGTGGACCAGAAGAAAGCAAATAATGGCCAAATAGAAAAGAGTCAAGAAGCAAGAATTCAAAGAAATGAGGAGAGTCTTAGGAATCTCCAGGACATCTTTAAACATTCCAACATCCGAATTATAGGGGTACCAGAAGGGGGAAAGGCACAGCCACCAGTGGAAAACTTATTTGAACAAATAATAAAGGAGAATTTCCCCAATCTGGCAAAGGAAATAGACTTCCAGGAAATCCAGGAAGCTCAGAGAGTCCCAAAGAAGTTGGACCCAAGAAGAAACACACCAAGGCACATCATCATTACATTAGCCAAAATTAAAATGAAGGAGAGAATCCTAGAAGCAGCAAGAGCTAAGGGGACAGTCACCTACAAAGGAGTCCCCATCAGACTGTCAGCAGATTTCTCAAAAGAGACCTTCTAGGCAAGAAGGGGCTGGAAAGAGGTATTCCAAGTCATGAAATCTAAAGACCTACAACCAAGATTGCTCTATCCTTTGAGATTGCTCAAAACTTTCATTTAGAATGGAAGGACAGATAAAGTGCTTCTCGGATAAGATCAAATTCAAGGAGTTCATCATCACCACGCCCTTATTATATGAAATGTTAAAGGGACTTATCTAAGAAAAAGAAGTTAAAGAAACATGAACAGTGAAAGGACAACAAACTCACAGTTATTAACAACCACACCTAAAACAAAAGCAAACTAAAAGGACAGCTAGATCAGGAGTGGAAACATAGAAATGAAGATCTGAAGGAGGGTTAGCAACAGGGGAGTGGGAGGAGGAGAAGCGGGGAGAAGGTACAGAAAATAAGTAGCATAGACAGTAGATAGAAAATAGATGGGGGGGGCAAGAATAGCATGGGAAATATAGAATCTAAAGGACTTGAGACACATGGTCATAAACTAAAGGGGGAGTAATGGTGGGGCTGGGGGGTAGGGTGGAGGGGAATGAAGGGGGGGAATAGAACAACTGTAACAGCATAATCAATAAAAAAAATTAAAAAAAATAATTCTAAGTTGGTAGTCGTTAGTCCAGTTGTCATATTTCGTGTTATACTTGCAAATGTAACTAATATGATTTGCTCATGGATGGGATGAGGGGAGTAACCTGAGCAACTAGAAATTTGGAGCTGCTACCTACTGAGATGGAAAAGACTCCTGGGAGAGCAGGGACGATCTGGAATTCAGTTTTGGACATAAAGAATGTGCCCATTTCATCTAATTTTTCAAATTTGTGAGCATGAGGTTATTTATCTACCTGGTGACAAAGTGTGTATCAGATTTTTATGTATTTTTCAGATTAGTGAATGTATACGTATGTAAGGGATTGTATATTTTACCGCTTTATGCCACCCCCTTCCCAGTCCTTTCATAGAGATGGTAGCATATGACAAACACTGTTCTGCATCTTGTTTTATCGCCTCAACAGTATGTCTTGGAGGTCATGCCATTTCGTACACAGTAGAACCTTCTTTCTTTCTGATGACTGCATAGAATTGCAGTGTGTACACATATTTTACTTTAAGTGATCCGAGGTTATTGGACATTTAAGTAATTTTCAGGTTGGCATTTTGTACATTGTGAATACATCTGTAAGAAAATTCCTAGAGAAGAATTACTGGGTCAAAGGGTACGTGAATTGGTAATTTTGGTATTGTCAGATTGCTTTCCAGGGAAGTTCCATCAGCTTATAAAACTACTAGCAATAGCATGAAAATACCTATTTTTCTATACCCCATCAGTACAGTGTATCACTTTTTTTGATTTTTATGAGTAAGATTTTTTTTTTGCTATGCAGGAATTTTTAATTTTTATTTATCACAGTTATCAATCTCACATTATCATATTTGGAAAGGCTTTTCTACTTTGAATCAGGGATATCCAGCTCACAGCTTGCATGCAGCCTGGGATGACTATGAATGTGGTCCAACACAAAATTGTACATTTAACCTAAAACCTTTTTTTGTTGTTGTTGCTCATTGGTTTTTGTTAGTGTTTGTGTATTTAATGTAGGGTCTAAGACAACTCTTCTTCCAGTGTGGCCCAAAAGGTTGGACACCCCTGTTTTCTTCTAGTACTTTTATGGTTTCTTTTTTTTTAAATGTTTAAATATTCAGTTCACCTGGAATTTGCTTTGATGTGGTTACTTGACTCTAAACGTCACTAAAGAAGTTGTAGAGATTTGTTTTCATATATTTTGGATTCTGGATTTAAAAAATCTCGTAATTGTGAGGGCCATACAGCCATATATGTGTATACTTAGACTTGAGGTTCATTGTTAATAATGTTCATAAGTCTATATTTCAAATAGTCTTGCTAATTTCAAGTTCTGAGACAACTCTGATTAGGTCTTTTTTTAACCTGGCGTTTTGGCTAATGGGCTCACGCTGAAAGGAGAGATGTCAGCTCTTTTTTGTTATGCTTGTATTTATATTCTTATCTCTAAGCTGTGGCTTCTTTGCGAGAATCTCCTTAAAACCACTTGGCTATTTTGTGAGGATTTCGT